GCGACGGATGTGATGCGTTTCTATTATGTGTTTAAAAGTCTAGTTAATTATAAACATAAAGATCAGTATTTTGTGCCAAATATTGTGGATTTTTACAAGTTTTCTAACAATTCAAGAAGTGGTGATTCTACTTGCCACACCACAGCGATGGTGAGTGAAATTCGTTTGTGAGTCCGAGCGCAGAAGAGGCCAACAGACGAGAATCATATTGCAAGCCGCCATCTTGAGGTAACAATATTCTGCGAGTGCCGTTTGGGATCACGAGGTTACGATACGTGGGACAAATTGCGACGTCTAAAAATCGTAACCTCAAACTTCGAAGTGCGAGTTGTAGTGTGGACCAACACGACGGTCGACGCTAGTGACGGATTCACTAATCGTGTAGTAAAGTGTATACCGTGGTTAAGAGTGTTGTACTTCAACGAATAGGTGATAGTGAAGATATCACTGTTGATGTTTATTTATTTTATTGTTGTTTACTGCGATCGTGTGTATAATGCCGCTAAATAATGAACAAATTTCGAGTGGCGGTACGTCAACCCAGTTCGATGTGAACGAACTGGTAAGAGCACTACTCGAACAGAATCGATTACGAGAACAACAGATGGACGCAATACTGTCCAAGTTAATGGAGAATAAATCTGAAGTGCCTGTGACGACGACTATGTTACCTACCATCATGCAAACGATACCAAAATTTAACGGTGAATCGGGTGATACGGACGTAGCCTCGGAGTGGTTAAATGCGTTAAACACTGCCTCCGTGCTGAACAAGTGGCCCGATGAATGCACGTTGGAAGCCGGTCGATCACAATTGGAAGGAGCTGCGAAACAATGGTACCTGAGTCACATGGACCAACTGGACACTGTATCTAAGTTCACGGCAGCATTTAAGGCGATGTTCACTAGTCGGGAAAGTGTTACCGAAACGTGGAAGAAAATGAGTGAACGGGTACAACAGCGTGATGAGACGGTGTTCGCCTATTTTCACGAAAAAGTAAGAATGTGTCGACGATTACAACTGAACGCAGCAGAGACAAAAAAAATGATATGTATAGGATTACATTCCAGAGAAATGTCTACTGCACTACTGAGTAACGGACATGTTGACGAAGCGGAGCTCCTGACAGATATACGCACGTACATGGAGGTGGAGGCAAATCGTAGTGAGAGGTTTTCGTCAGTAGTAACCCACAAGAAACGAAACATATCGTCAGGGTCTGTAAGAAAAGTTTCGGATACTAGTCGTAAGGATGATGATGATGTGTCCACAAAAGTCAATACGTTACGACGTGAAAAGGAGGGTCCGCGATGTTATAACTGCCAGTTATACGGTCACATCGCCCGTGACTGTACTCAACCGCGGAAACCGATGCATTGCAAGAAATGTGATAAAAGTGGACATACTATTAAGTATTGTAAGGCAAATATTCCAGAAGTAAATGTGGTCTGTACTCAAACAAAAGGACAAGTGATGTGCTATATTAAAGAGGTACGGATCAATGAACATGATAAGCCGATCAAAGGACTGATTGACACTGGAAGCGCATACTCAATACTTCGGAAATCGATTGCGGTGCGTTATGGTTTACACGTGGAACCAAAAAGGGTCAGTATGTTGGTATATGGGAATACACAGTCTGTAGAAAGTTGTGGTGAAACGTGGGCTACAATCAGCATCGATCAAGTGAGCGAGAAAATCCCATTGATCGTAGTGGACGATCGGATGCAGAATTATGATGTAATCATAGGAAGGACGTTTACGGAATGCAACGAAGTAACATTTATCAAAACAAACGAACAATTACTGTTCGCTTACGGTATGCGGTTTCCCTACCACGATGACGATATACCACCAAGAGATCCACAAGTGTATGACGCGAGAATAATTCAATCAATTGAAAAACTACCTGCTAATAGCGCGAAACTAGTTGAAGTACTGGCTGGAGATCAACAGATGGAGGTGATGATCATAAATGACAGCATTAAAGAAGTAGAGTTGCAACATGGAGCTAAGGTAGGTACAATTCGCGTGAATAACAAAACACCACAAATTAGTGATGATGACGTGGTGGAGCAGATCACTGCAGAGAAGGTGAACATGGGTCCCATGCTCACGGAAACCGAGATATGTGCACTGCTGGAACTCTTAAATTCATATCGCATGTGTTTTGCTTCTAATCTGAAAGAACTGGGCTGTACCGACGTCATACAGATGGACATTGTGGACACTGGGCAACCGGTAGTTGGTAGGCCATATCGAGCTAGTGCAACAGAACGTGAGACTATCAGTCGAATCGTCAAGGAATGGAAGGATGTTGGAATAGTGACTGAGACCAACTCCCCTTATGCATCACCGGTATTGTTAGTAACCAAAAAGGACGGAGACGCCCGATTAGTGGTTGACTACCGAAAACTTAATTCACAAACGGTACGCAAGGTGTTTCCAACCCCCAACCTGGATGACCATTTAGAATCATTGTACGGAGCCAAACTGTTCACCACGTTAGATCTCGCCTCGGGTTACCTGCAAGTGCCGCTGACTGAGTCAGCAAAAGAGAAGACCGCCTTTGTGACACCTAGTGAATCTGGACAGTTCGAACGCATGGTTTTCGGCCTGATCAATGCGCCGTATGAGTTTTCTCGGCTCATGCAGAGGATAATGAGCCCATTAAGAGACAAGGTGGCCATGTGGTATTTAGATGATATTTTAATACCATCTACCACAAGTGATGATATGTTCAAACGGTTGAAACAAGTATTAGAAGTGCTCAAGGAGGCTAAGTTAACATTAAAATTGAGTAAGTGTTATTTTGCCTATTCCGAAGTTGCTTATTTGGGTTATATGTTGTCAGCTGATGGTGTCCGACCGGGAGAGCAGAAGGTGCAGGCCATACAGCAGTATCCAAGACCAAGGAACAAACATGAGGTGCGCAGATTCTTGGGATTATGCGGATTTTTTCGACGGTTCATACCACGCTATTCGGACATAGCTAGACCAATCAGTGAGTTACTCAAAGATAAGGTACCTTATATGTGGACAACACTACAGGAAGTTGCTTTCCAAACTATGAGGGTTAAACTGGTTAGCAGACCTGTCCTGCAGCTGTACAACCCCACAGCGCATACAGAAGTGCATTGTGATGCCAGTAGTGATGGGTTGAGTGGTATGCTGCTCCAAAGGAACGGCGATGGAGACAACCAGCTACACTTAGTTCATGCAGTGTCCAAAAAGACCACACCTGAAGAAAGAAATTACCATTCGAGCAAGTTGGAACTAATGGCTGTGGTTTGGAGTTTAAATAAGTTGCGGCACTACCTGATAGGTATTAAGTTCTTAATAATAACGGATTGTCAAGCTATAGTACATTTAAATACTCAGAAAACTGTTAACCCACAAGTAGCGCGTTGGGCTACTCTATTGAGTGAATATAATTATGAAATAAAGCACCGGCCTGGTGTGAAGATGGCCCATATTGATGCACTGAGTAGAGCACCAGTCAGTAGCCCTGGTGACACTGAACAATTGGATGAAAGATGCGGGGTGTTCATTACAATGTCAGAAGAAGAACAGGTAATAGCTATGCAACAAACTGACACAAGACTTAGGGCAATTATGGAAACCCTTAGTCAAGAACAGTCGGAACGTACAGCAGTAAATACCGAGAATATGAAAGATTACCAACTCCGACATGGAATGTTATACAGGAAGGTGATCGTTGATGGTGAAGTGAGACTGTTGGGGCAGTACCTGATTCGATGCGCAAAAGTATTGTAGTAAGATTCCATGATTTGGCTGGACATTTTGCAGTGGACCGAACAGTAAGTAAAATTAAGGAGAAATATCATTTTCCACAAATGCGCTGTTATGTAAAAATGCACATCAACTGTTGTCCTGAATGTGTGTTGATCAAAGTTCCTAGAGGGAGGCAGCCAGGTGAACTTCATCCTATCACACCAGGTAAAAGGCCTTTTGAGGTGATCAATATAGATCACATTGGTCCCTTTGTAAAGTCAACGAAGGGTAACAGTTATATTATGGTATTAATCGATAACCTAACTAAGTATGTTAAGTTATATCCTGTAAAGAGCTGCGGCACAGAAGGAGTAGTCTCCAGTCTACGGTCATTCATATTGGTATTTGGAACTCCAAAGCGGATAATTAGTGATCGAGGAACAGCCTTCACATCAAAAGCTTTTGAGTTATTCTGTATCCAGGATGGTATTCGACATACCCTGAACTCAGTAAGGCACCCATAATCAAATGGGCAAGTAGAGCGCGTCAACAGCACTCTAGTACCAGTGATGCAGTCAGCCATGGGGTCAGATCGGACCTGGGACAGACACATTTCAGATGTGGAGTGTCACTTGAACAATGCGTACAATAAGACTATAGGTGATACACCTTTCCACGTTTTGTTCGGGTACTATCCAAGTTTCAGGGATGGTGTACTGCATCATGTCACAAAAGTTGATGAATGGGATTCAACAGCAGAGATCCAAAGTAAGATACGAGAGCGCATTACAAAGGAACACCAGATGTGGAAGCAACGATATGACTCCAGACATGTTAAACCAATGCAGTATAGTATTGGAGAAGTGGTGTTCATAAGGAAGCCACCGGATGCTACAGGAGAGTCGACCAAACTACAGTTTAAGTATCGAGGGCCGCTAGTGATAACAGATGTATTACCTAACGATACGTACCGAGTGTCAGCACTACGGACAGAGGCTGGTAAACGTTATGCAACAGTAGTACATGTGTCACACATAAAAGGATATCATTTACCTGACAATGAAGAACCATTCGACGGGAACAAAGATAACGAACAAGAAGATGTACCAACCGCTGTAAACGAAGAGGTAGAGCAGACTGAGTCTGTCAAGATACATTCCAAGCGAGAGAGGAAAGCTCCTGTTTGGCATGCATCGTACAAGATGTGATAAATCAAATGTAGTAATTTTTTTTTTATAACTAAGTATTACCAGTAAATGTAATAAAATGAATTATGTAATGTTAAGTATCATATAATATTTGTTATGTTAGGTTTATCTTTTGTATTTTTTTTGTATGATTTTTAAGTTGTTTTACTTTAAATGTTTTGAAACTCTTGTTGTAAGCCAAGACGGCTGAGGACAGCCTAAGGACAGGATGCCCGAATGTTATCAATATGTATATTATGATAAGGAGATAGGCAGTAGGGACCACTGTACGCGAACTATCAGTATCGATCCAAGCGACGGATGTGATGGTTCTCTAGTATGTGTTTAAAAGTCTAGTTAATTATAAAATAAAGATCAGTATTTTGTGCCAAATATTGTGTGTTTTTACAAGTTTATAACATTATGATTTTTGTTTTAATTTTTTTTTATATTTTTACTACTTATAAATCTTGCGGTATGCAAGAATTATTGATTTAGAAATTAAAATAGTCTTCAATATAGTGTAACTTTTTGTCAGAAATAACATATATTATATTAATTTAGTTTTCAAAGAAAAAAGAATAGTATTTCAACGCTTAGAGTATCGATTAAAAATGTGAGAATATAACCAGTAATGATTTTAATTGCAGGGAATAACATAGTACGCCCAACGACATGGCAGCGTTTTTTGCATTTATGTTTGGCATCTTAAATAAGTACATTTTCAATGTCAATAGAGACAATATAGTTATGTATTTATGTAGTAGGTTTATGTCAATTATCGTAAAATATGTTAACTATTGTAATATAATATGTATACTAAAATATATAACGCATTATATCATGTACATATAAAAGGAGTTTGGTATAAGCAGTTTGTACGAATTTTCTAAAAATATAAATTTTTAACTATTTTTTTAATTCCCACTAGTAACAACTTACAAGGGATCTTGTATTACAGTTTCAGTTTTTTCGACCCAACTAAAATTTTTTTTTTCGTCTATTCGCTATCACTTCCGTCTTATCATATTTAACGAAAATGATACGTTTAAAATGACGTTTTACCGTTCCCTGCGTTATTATATTATATTACTTATATATGTTTGATGGGCTCGATATATATAATCTAATAGTTAGTAGGTACATATATATATTATATTCAAATATTATGTATAAATGTATTTAATTAAATTCTGGCAGGTAAATCGTATAATGATATGACTATATTATACTATACTAATTAAACTATTTAATAAATAATAATTTTATCAAACGCACCTATATATGTTTCTTTTATACTTGAATGGACAATAGTACAAGTACAGCCTACTTGATATATTACAGTTTTTAAGTGAAAAAAACATAAACTAATAGATCTAATAGAACTGATTAAATTCTGGCAGTTAAATTGTACAATTATATGACTACTCTATTCGATATGACCTATATAGGTAGGTTTGATCGTTTGATATTCTAGATATATAATATATTATGAAGTAGGTACTTCATATATTACAGTTTTTAGGTGATTATATTAATAAATAAAATATAACTTAATGTATTAATTTAATTCTAAAAAAATTATTGTAAATTGTATAATGACATGACTATACTATACTAATTAAGCTATTTAAAAAATAATAATACATCATACTCCAAAAACCAATTGTTATGAATACTAAGAACCCCTGGTTACTTTATAATATGTAGAATATATGTTATTAGTATAAGTGATATTGTACACCACCTCCGGCCGAAACGGAATGTGCTGAGCAAACCTTTTCGGCCCGGACGGAGCAACGACTATACAGTACAGTCCACTTGCACTTAAACGCGTGGACCAGTGGCGTATATAGGGGGGGAGCCTAGTGGGCTGTAGCCCCCCCCCCCCCCCCCCGAAATCGCAAATTTCGTTTATTTAAACTGTTATGTTAACTTACAGATTTTTGTGTTATGCCGCATCCATTAGTTTAATATCTATGTATTAATATTAGGTAATATATATATTACCTACCTTTTATTTAATAGGTTTTAATATTTTATTCTTATATACCTATCGATTTAAATTAATAAATAATGAGCTACACGCCTACTAAAATAAATGCAAACAAAAAGTTCTAAATTATTATTACTTAAAACGTTGAACAGATGTATACCATAAGGAATAACGTCTGGTTATACGAATAATCACATATAAAGCGTTTTCAACATTTAGCTACTCCGATTACGGTCGAAATAATGGTCGTACGTACTTCGACTATAGAACCTTTTTGAATCCTCGTACATCAAAAGACCAAGATCTCGAGTTTCGTAGTGATCAAACGAAAACCCAAAATCCAAAATACACCTAATTACGTAATTTTTTAAGTACAAAAACACACGAAAAATCATAACTCCCGAACCAAAAGTCGGATAACCTCGATCTCAGTACCCATCGATACGGCGCAAAGTCCTCTATAACATCCGACTATAAAAGCTCGCCGCTCCCAAAATCTAAGTGTCCGTGCCGAAAAACCCAAATTTTTAACTTTCGAAGCCCCAAAAGACGGAGAAAAACGGCTCCTATGGTCTTGACACAAGACGCCGAATTTGATCACTGGCCTCCAAACTAAAAAAATCTCGAGTTTCAAAAACTTCATACAAAAACTAAACTTTTCCTAAAATACACCTGTGGGGGGGGGGTGGGTCGAGGACCCCCCGACTCCGGGAGTACGTTTTAGAAGGGCCTAAACCTAAGCGTTTGGTAACTTAAAGTATAATATAAGAACTAAGGTAGTAGTGAGAACTACTGAGTAGTCAGTAGGTACCTACTACTCGTACTAAGTACAGTAATACAGTATAGGTCCTACCTTAAAAATGCAGCAGATACCTACGAACGTTCCACATCTGAATCACGAGAAGGCTAAACCTACGATTTATCGAAAATGTAAAAACCTTATAAAAATTACGGAGCATGGGTGAAGGGTATAAGTACTAAAAAAGTACTTCATAAACTATTAGTAGTATACATTTGTATGTTCGCCGTACGTTCGTTTTTTTCCGCGGTAATTACACCATGTTCAAGCGGGGATGTCCGCCTTAGAGGACACTGATTTTACCGCATTGCACATCACGGGGAGATTACACTCTCATTGTCCACCTATTTGCTGCTTACACAAAAATATTTACCGTACTACATTTTATAGGGAGATTTCACAATTTTTATCCACGAACTCACCGCTAACACAAAATATTTTTCATATTTAAAAATTACTGGGCGATTGCACACTCAAAATCAGTTTTACCCCTTACTCGAAAACATTTAACGTATACACACCAACATTTTTGAAAATATATTTATTGTATTTACATTTATTTACACTGTAGTTTATTTTTTCATCAATTTTGGTGTGAGGAGAATTTGATTTAGGCCTTATGAAATTATATTTTATGATAAACGGATCAAAATGTCCCCAAAAAAAACGGATCAAAAAGTCCCCAGAGGATCAAAATGTCCCCGGAGGACAATTTGATCCGGTGGGGACAATTTGATCCGCTCATAAAATTCCATTTTTTTATAAAACGGATCAAAATGTCCCCAATTCAAAACGGATCAAAAAGTCCCCAGCGGATCAAAATGTCCCCGGAGGACAATTTGATCCACTGGGGACAATTTGATCCTCTAGGGGACATTTTGATCCGCGGATCAAAAAGTCCCCGGATCAAAATGTCACCTTACCTACACGATAAGTAGTCGAAATAATGCTTCGATTTTCAACTTCAGTATATTGTTCGATTGGAAAGTGAATATCGTTGGTGCATTGGGAAGGTCAAAATTTAAAATTCCCAATGGTTTTCAAAAGCGCCGGGAAAAATAACAAAAAAATTAAGGAAAAACGGGAATTTTCACTCAAAATCATTTTTTGACAAAATCGAATTTGGTTTTTGGTGTACCTTTAAGACAAATGACTGTAGGAACATGAAATTTTGACTGGTTGTTTATATTTGCCTTTTCTATACACGATAACATTTTCAAAATATTTTGATTTCTTTTGAACTGTTTAGGGACATTTTCCATTTTTTTTTAGTTTTTTTTCTAAAAATATCAATAAAATTTTATTTGTTGGGTAAAAAAGCTTGAAAATTTGATAGAAGGCTCCTAGTATATTGTTTCAAAGGCAGATGAAAAATATTAAAAATCTTTAGTAACAGTTTTTTTTTATAAGCATTTAAAGTTCAAAAATTGACAAAATATGGAAAAATCACAAAAATTAGCAAATTCTTTTGAGTTAAGAATTCGTAAAAATTTTTCTTTTTAAATCTAAGAAGATTTCAAAATTTAATTCAAGATTCCTTATAGGATTATCTACGTTTATCAATAAAAAAATCTCTACCGGAAAAACAAATTAAATTTTTATGAGCGTTTAAAGTTCATAATTTTACAATATTGGATATTCACTCGATTTCTCATGTAGCGATTTCCTTATTTTGTTGTAATTCAAAAACGAATAACTGTAGATACATGAAAATTTCACTGAATGTTTATATTAGTATTTCTTATACACCATACAATTTTGAAAATATTTTGACTCTTTTTGAGCTGTTTATGGGTATTTACAGTTTTCAATTTTTTTTTTTTTTTTCTATAAATATCAATAAAGTTTTATCTGTTGTGCCAAAAACTGTAAAAATTTAATACGAAACTCTTGATATATTTTTACAATAGCAGTTGAAAAATATTAAAAATACATAGGCACAGTATTTTTTTATAAGCATTTAAAGATCAAATCTGGACAGAATTTATCAAAATCTCGAAAATATTATCAACAAATGTAATTAATAAATTATAAAATGTTCAGTTTTTATAGCTAAGGATTGAAAATTTAAAACAAGATTCCATGAAAGTCGTTGATTCTGTTACCAAAAAATCTAAAAAATACACAATCACAATTTATTTTTATATTCATTTTAAGTTCAAATTTGGACGAAATTACATAAAAACCTAGAATAACTATTTTAGTTATTTTGTTGTGATTGTATAA